AAAAAAAAAAAAAAAAAAAAAAAAAAACTACGAAATTTAATCTATAATATAATTCAACGGTAAATGTCAAGATATTTATAGGTTATGTCAATTTATTCATAGGTAATATATTTTAGGTTATGTTGTAATCAGTTCAATTATTGTCTAGCAATGATTACAAGTACATGCACGAATACGTGGGGGCTATTTATCTATTGTCCCCACTCTAAACGATAAATAATAAACAAAAGTAATGGAAATGAGCTTTCACATTCTGTTCACAATTAGACAGTGATCTGTTTAACAGAAAAATTCCAAGCTTGAATAGCTGAGCAGAATGTGACAAGACTGGGGATTGCGTTAAGGTTAAAAAATAACGTTGCCATTATTCAAATCTTTTCTTTCTGTTCCTTCTTGAATATAAGTTATTGGCTTTTACCGAACAATAAAGGTGGGTTCATCTCGGTTTTTTGTAACACCATCGGTATTCAATTACATCATCGCGTCGCGGTCCCATTAAAAATTCCCATCTCCGAAATGTCCATTTTTAATGTCGAGGTGAAATTCCGCTTTGCTTCGAGCGAAGTGAAAGGTCAACTTACTGTGCACGGGAGGCTGTGTGTTAAAATCTTACGAAAAACGGGCACGTTGTGCTTGGGACCCTCTTATTACACTTGAAAATCCCTGGAAGCGATTAGCTTCGTGCAAAAGGCTGAGAAATTTGCCCGGCATTTGGTCGATCGAACGGTGGCGCAACCACGCATTACCGAACATGATATTACTTACTATTACAATGTAAATTGTACCGTGCGCGACGATTAAACGAGACTTGCATCTGTCAAACGAGATCCGTGTCCAACGTGGGTTTATGATGGTTTACAGTGAACGCGTCGCGGCCATAAGCTCCGACGAATTGATAAACGCGAGAACATTGATTAACGATCTATGCCATTTCGCCAGGACATTCTCTGCCCTATTACCAATTACCAAAGTCGTCGAAATGATTAATTTGTAATTTCCTATGAGAAATTTTATATATTTGTGACTAGGTATTAGTATTTCTAGGCAACTGAATTTTGATAAAATCGATTTTTAATAAAATGTGACTTTGAGTAGAATATAATTTTCATAATTATAATTTTAATAGAAGTTTATATTTTTTATTGTATTATTATATGCTTTCCCTTACGCTTTAATTCCTTTGCTATGAATGTTATAGTTTTTCGTCGGTAGTTCTAGCGTCAAACTGTATATCTGAGTTGCCTGAATAATAAAAGAGAATGATTGCCCATCTTCGTGTACACCAATCTTATTTAATTAATTTTTCTATTCTGGAAAAGTCTGTTTCGACGTTAATATTTTTTTATTTTTATTTTTCTTTTCCCATTATAATTGGTTCGTTTTCGATGAAATTGATGATACACGCAGTTTTAATTGAATATAATTTTTATTGATGATGTAACTTCTTGATGCAGAAATCGAATATAAAATTTCGTGCGAAATAAACATAGGCTCGCTTTGTGCAAAACAATCTTTCTTTCCGCTGTGTTTCAAGTAGGCCGCATCAGCCTTTCCTTGCTTTGAATAATTCATCGCAAGAGACGAAACGACAAATTGAACATGATCGAAAGTTTTTTTACAGCCTCGGAGAGATCGTCTCTAGCGCGACAGTAAACATGCAGTAAATTTGCTTGTGCCAGCGATCTTAATGGACAGTTTTATATTTATGAACATTCTCATATTTGA